CTTGTCGTCGATGAACAGTTCAATTTTCTCGGTACCAGAAGCTGCATGCTGCGCACGACGAATCAGCAGATCCACCAGGCGCTGTTTCGCAACTGCCAAACGACTCGATGTCCTTTGCATCGTTGCCTGCAATACGACAACAATGCATGTCAAAACCCATGCACTTGTACAAAATATCGAGTGGGCCGATGGGTGAAAACCTCAACAACGGATGCGTGTGAAAGGAGGTCGAAATTCAACCGAACAACGTGAAGACAAACACCAGAGTCCCAAATCGTGCAGATTCGACGTAGCGTTGAAGGCAAGAGCTCGATTCGGCTGACCCAGGCACGGTGCGTTAGCGAAGTGAAAAGAATGTCAAATATAGTTTAAGTCAGACTTTAAAAAAAAAACACACACACACACTAAAACGCCGACAGGAAATACTAAAATTATGCTAGAAATGCCTTCCACCGCGCTAGATTTGGATCAAGAACTCAACCTAAACCGTTCGAGTGGACCAGAAGCAAAATCCAGAAGGACTTAAGAATTGACGGGGTCTGGAGAATCATGACATCCCTCACTCTCGATCGTGCCCAAAATTGAACAGAATGATGCGCACCCTCCACCCTCTCCCCCCGCCACTTCTTCGTCACCTTTCCCTCCAATCAAGAACCTCTCACTGCTGAATCCCGATTCTCTGCAACAATCTTGTTAAGCACGCCCGGCAACCATTTGCATTCTGGCGTTCCATCTAGTTCTGTTTTAGCCGCTTCCCGGCCAGCAGTGCACCGCAGCCGTTCGAAATTGATAGCACCAAGTTCGTCAACTCGATGCACCGCAGCACAGCAGCACCACTAACGAAACCACCACCTCTAGAAACGCAACCAAAAAATGGCTCAACAAGCCAACAACCCTGAACGCAACGCACCACATATCAACACCTCAGTTTATCGCTTTAATGCACAACAACGTGAGCAGGCCGACAACGAACACACACACACAAACACACACACACGCACATACACACACACAGCGAAATGTGCAATGTTGTGCATGGAAGTAGGTAGGATGTGGCAGAAGCAAGCATCTGAACTCATCAAATGGTACAGCGCACAGAGGATACGTTTTATTGAAGGAAGCGTGTATGCAAATAAAGCGAAAACACATCAGGAAGGGTGTCGGGCGAAGGTGCACCGGATGGAGGAGCAGAACCACAGCGCACTAGTGCATGATGAACTCCGCGCAACTGCATACTGCAGTCAGCGAAAAACCGAAAGCATCGTGCCACTCCCGCATCTTCTCTAAAGCCTCGATGCGTCGAAAACGCTCGTAACAGCTCACCGAAATCACAGCCGGTTGCTCACAGCCCTCTGCTACTTGGAAAAGGGTGCGGGCTATACAGTCGCGGACTATTCACGCAGCAGTGAGTTAACAAGGCTCAACGAGGGAAGAAACAATGAAAATATCATTTGCTGGTAAACTACCGCAAAATAACAAAAGTTCCTGACCAGAACAAAGCGACAACTCTGTCAGCTGAAAACACAAGCATCCCTGTTGCTGCCGCTGCTCAAAATGCATTTCGATATGCGCACAGTTGGGAAAAACTGCGTGAGCGGTGTTTTCTCACTATTGCTGCCTTCCAGAGATTACACAAATACAACTCGTCGATTCACTTAATTAAACGGGATATCCATAGATTGATTAATTTGCGTAAGAGATAAAAAGAATCAATCCAAAAGAAGTCACAGGACATATACCAAAGTCTGAAAATCTCAAAAAAAGAAAGGAATTTTATCAGTTTGAGAACTAATTTCAGACATATTACAGCAACATTTTTCCACCTGAAAAAATAGCATAACGCAAAGAAATCCTGAAACCTTGAACCTTAGTAGTTTATACATAAATCACAACAATGCAGCTTTTATTGGCTGTGCTCTGGAAGAGCAATGCGAATGTCCGGATTTGCGAGAAGGTCCAAACTTGGATCGTCCTCCGATGGTCTGGTCAGTACTCGTGATAACACTGTGAATACTGTCATCACAAGCACAACACAGAGTATTACGTAAAAAATGCCATTTTTCCATCGGGCGCGAACATCAAACGCGGAACGTCTGCCATAGCGCGACCTGGAAAGCAACACATCCCATCGCTTTTTTAGTTCCGCTTGGAGTAAAAATCACTTTTTTATTTAAAACCTATGTGATGTATTGAAGCGCAACACAAACCTAAACCAGCGACTGAACCATTCACTCGCCGATCTTCGTTTATATTTGTTCTCCGGAAGGTCCTCATCGCGGTCCCGAGAAAGCAGCATGGAGTTGGCACTCACGTACCCAACATCGCCCACTGCTGTTAACTTTCGAGCTGAAAAAGAGCGGTGATAAAAAAAACTCACCTAACTGTTGCTTGAAACACTTAGAATTTCAAAGTAACAGTTCGAAGGATCTTTCTCTCATTCAATCTACATAATGTGGTGTAAACATGTAATTAGAAAATTATATATTTTTTCTTTGTTTTTAGGCAACCGAATCAGCAGTGGAGCTGCATTCCCGAGTGTTTACATTTCCCCCTACTTTTGTCCATCATTTTGTTAACTTCTTAAAAACAATCCTCGTTCCTTTTGTTATCTTTCCTATCTTTTTTTTAGCCTCTTTACCCCTCCCCCCCATTTTCCTCATCATCCCTTCCCATCGCCCTTCTTCTTAAACCCCAGATCTCCCCAAAACTGTTACACCATATTATGAAGCCATCCTTTGTTTTTCTGTAAGCCGTCCATTTCTTTCATCGGGGCTTGAGTTCCTTCTTTGTACGAGCAGTCTCGACTTATGCCTCGTCTCAGTGTCATTCCACCTCATTGCGCCTTTGGAGTATCATCCTTGTCCACCAGTGTACCCTTTTCTCTTTCGCCAGAAAAGCCAGAGGAACTCGCCATCAAATCTGCTGCTTTTCGCCACCAAGTTCTTCACTTCCCAAATGTCAAATTCCGTACCACTGTCTGCTATTGGCATACCTTATTACAAGTAAGCCATAAATATATTCATGTTACTCCAATTGCGCACAGAGCCAACGCACAACGTCAAGCTAAAATCAAACGCTATAGTAAGAACAGCAAGACCGCCCGAACAATCGGCATGAGTTTCTCATCTTAGTGGTGTTACCAACATCCAGTGCTAATTCTATTTATTATGCGTTTTGCGCTGTGTAACAGCAGCACAAAACGTATATTGTTATGGGGTCGTCTGTGTTTGTGCGTGTGTGTGTGTGTCGAGATTTTGTCCCGCTCTTTCACTCGGGAGCCACAAAAGCTAGGAAGCTGAAAATTTGGGGGAATGTTCCCTGTCCACGCGTGACTTAGCAACTTTAAATCCAGCTTCCTCGTTCCCGTAGCCCCGTAAAAGTTTTGGCGGGGAAAATTATTACCTCGAAAGAAAAGCTGAAATTCTATGGATATGTCCCCTGTCCACATGCGACCCAGAAAAATTAAATTCAGCCTTCTCCTACCTGCGGGGCAACACATACGACCCCCTAAAGATTTCGGAGAGGAAATTTATTATCTCGGGAACCACGAAAGCTAGAAGATTCGCCCCATTTTTACCCCCCTTGGATTCGCCTATTTTCAGTAAGCAAACGTTCGCTGGATGGAACTGCGCAAAACGCATCATTGCACCGGTTACTCTGGTGCATGCAGCTATTTATTATGCGTTTTTGCAGCAATGCAATGCGAAAAACGCATATTGACGAGAGGTTGTCTGTGTGTGTGCGTGTCTGTGTGTGTGTGTGTCTGTGTGTGCGCTGAGCCTCTGTACCGATTTTTCATCTCGAGACCGGTAAAAGCTACGGGGCTGAAACTTTGGGGACTTAA